AAAGTGCTCCCTCTCACAGACAGAATTAGAGGTACAAGGACCGATGGTGTAGTGGGTAGTACGCCGCGTCCGGATTGGAGGGGAGTGGTTCGATTCCCCCTCAATCTACAGTTTTTGCAGAAGGAGTCTGTTCACGAGACACATAGAAGAGCTTAATTTTTTATTTAATACGCGAAGAAAAATGGCATATTCAAGTAAGTGGGACGATGTTTTGGAAATTTTGAGGGCACACGTTTTTGAGCGTGAATATCCCCTTCCCCTTGCTTTTCGGAAATAGATTTTTCCTCCTTCTCTCCCTACTTCTTTGTGGAAATTAAGAGTATGGTTGTCTGCTAACAAATAAGTCTTCCGTGCGTTAAAATCTACTCAGTAAAGCGCATTTCATAATAATCCAGGGATGGCAGCATTCAAAGCGGGTCTTTTGCTCATTATCTACCTATTCGTTTCAAAGGAATTTTACCACTTACTGCTTGTTTTGGGCTGCTTTGTGGAAATTAAGAGTAAGGTTGTCTGCAGGAGGCGAAACGAACAGAGAAATAGTCTAGAGACTGACCACTGGGTGCTGCATTAGTGGCCAAAGCAAGTGAACAAATTATCAGCTGTGTAGCTGGAGAACCAAGCTATGACCTGTCAACTTTTACAAAACTAAGACCTGTCAGCTTTTACAAATTTTCTAGGTATATGTAAGAAAAATGTTTGCAAATTTCTAACTGTAGCACAAATTTAAGACTCCCTAAGCGAGTTTTTTGAAAGAATGCAGAAGTGTAACACTTCTTGAAAATGTTTAGCAACTGAACCTGATACGCATCCAGGTGTTATATCATCATCCAGAGCTGGTGGCAAATTGTAATTTAGCTGTCTTGTTGTTTCCAGAATATTTCTTTCATCAAAAAATATGCGCTTAAATAAAAACTTGTGATTAATCACTATAATAAATCATTATAATAAGATATTCGTTATAATAATGGCAGTCTTAATGAATTTCGAACATATTTATCGTGGTATTTTGGTCGCTGCTGAGTGTTCTGATTTTGAGGGTACTTTTTATCAAAACGTAGGATTGCAGGCTATTTCAAGTTTGAAAAATCATTATAATGATCATTTTTAATCATCTTTTTTACCCTCAGTCAATGATTTCTGCTCTTTTTCTTGAAATTTGTACCTTTTGTGTTTTGTAAATTATCTCCGGGTTTTTTTAGCCCCCCTTTCGCCCCTCTCCCTTTCCTCCGCGACTTATAAACCAAAAGGCCCACCCAAATTGCTTGTATAGAGCCTTCGCGTTGTTGATAACTATACGACGAGCGTTATAATACTTGCCTCTCTTTGTTGTTTTTCATTTCAACCAAGCATCGCTCTTTTTGCGTATGATTCTTGTAAGCAGAAATTGTCAACAGTTATGCAGTTATAAGGTCAAAACCCTCCTCTTTTTAGTCCCCGTGATTAACAAAGGCACTCGGAATTAGCCTGAATGGTAGCAACTGCCTTATCCGCGGCTACCTCTTTCGTGGGATATTTGAAAGTGAGCTGTAAAAATTCAAATTCATTTTGTTGTGATTTTGAATTATGTAATATTTTTTTGAGTTTCTGAAATGCACATATACCTCTTTACGAGTCAGTTTTTGTCCATGTATATTGAACCATTCACAAACAATGGCTCCCTCCAAACAGGCTATTAAACCTGAAAATTCTATTTCATTCTGAACAAAAAATTTGATTTTTTAGCAAAAGGCCTGACATAGTTGCGCTCGTCGTGAGGAAGAGTCCTAGTAAGATCATTAACAGGGGATACCCACACTGACAGCCCGAGCAGCATTGGCTTATGTTTTGGTTTATCATCTCAATTGTTGCAAACCATTGTTGTTCCTCGTCCTTTTTTTTGAGTTTTTGAGTTCCTCAAATTATTTTTTCCCACCCAAAATTAATTTCATTGCTTTGCTTTTTCAGTTTTCAAATTTATACAAATTAAGAAAAAAAATCATACCAGCTAGTATATGAGGATATATTCTGAGATTCAGGAACAGTATATTGAGACTGTTCAGCATTCCGAATGCAGCAACGGCGAATAGACTTGGGTGGTAGTTCAGAGTGCAGAATGTCGTCAGCGATGGTTCCGATTCTTGTCCGTTTACTAAATTTTTTTTTATTTTTTCATGGATTTATAGGTATAAATGTTAGGAACACTACAGGAATTGGTGGCTAATAATGCGGAAAGAAAGAAGAGGAAAGTCAAACTTAAGTTGTACTAGATAGATGAATTCAT